ACGCTAGTGTGAATGCGCGGGCCTGCGTGGCGCCACTCGTAGGAGATTGCGTCATAAATAAACAACTATTTACAAAAGTCACTCAGCTTCGTGCTCACGCTCAGATGCACACACACGCGCTCGCACACACACGCGCACGCACGCACGCAAGCACGCACGTACAGACACGCGTGCGCACCACGCGCACAAACACACGAGCGCACACACGCACACACACGCGCGCGCGCACGCACACACACAAACGCGCGCACACGCAAACACACACGTACACACACACAAGCGCGCGCACGCAACACGCACGTACACACACAAAAGCGCGCGCACGCAAGCAAGCACGTACATACACACAAGCGCGCACGCACACCAGCACGCACGCACGCAAGCACGCACGTGCACACACACAAGCGCGCGCACGAACGCATGTACACACACACAAGCGCGCGCACGCAAGCACGCACGTACACACACAAGCGCGCACGCACGCACACCCGCACGCGCGCGCGCACGCACGCACACACACACACACACACACACACACACACACACACACCGCGCGATAAACGCGCCCGCACTGTACAGATAAAATTGGGATATTTCATGTCATAAGAAAATCGGTGGAGGCAGAACGTTGTTATAAGGCTAAAACACACGCCAGAAGAAGACTGACAGAGACTGCTGAGAGACGACCATCCATGGGCGACGCAGGACTCGCAGAGCTACTGCGGTGGCTGGCTACACGCCATCCTGACGTCTGTGATGCCACCCACGCACCCACGCGAACACCACTCAGCAGCAGCTGCGCCACCTATCGTGCAGACTCAGCAAACACTGAGCTCCATGCGGGGAACGAATGAAGGTACAGAATAAACGTTGAGAACGAATATAGCGAACACACTAAACGAACGTACTACACGAACGTACTGAACAAACGTAGAGAATACAGGAAACGAACGTAGCCAACAAATGTAGAGAACAAACGTTGACAACGAATGTAGGGAACGAACGTTGACAACGAATGTAGGGAACAAACGTTGACAACATACTGAGCGAAGGCGGAGAACAGACTGAACAAACGTAGAGAATGAACATAGGAAACGAAGGTAGAGAACATACTGAGCGAAGGCGGAGAACAGACTGAACAAACGTAGAGAATGAACATAAGGAACGAAGGTAGAGAATATAGAAAATAATGAACGACGTAGAGAACGAACGAAAAACATAATATAATGAATGAACGTAAAGAAAAGATTGAACGAACGTGTAACCACTGAACAACCGTAGAGAACATTTGGAACGAACGGAGAGAACAGACGTAGAGACCAAAAACGTCCACAGATGAACAAACACTAGAATGAACTCAGAATGAAGGTCATACTAAGCGTGACCGATAAAAGACCGTACAGAAAATGACAAAAGCACAAAACAGTAGAATAATGAATGAATTAACATATAAATGCGACTCACAGGAAAAGACAGTGTTACAAACAAACAGTACAAGCAGATGAAACCCACAGAGTGGAACCGACAATAACAACGGGAATATACCAAGGCGTACCCAAGCTATAACTGATAAACAAACAATGGAATTAATACAGAGACCAAAAACACACAACAAGAAAGACAAATGATCACACGTATGGACGCACTAAATCGAAATGAAAATAGGGAAACGGAGACAAACACAGAGATAGACATATTTTCACACGCCTTCTGTTACTCAATATCAAATGGCTAGCTTTGTAATTTTACATTACACAGCGTATGTGCAACCACTAAGACGAACCTGCATACCAAAACGTCAGTCCCTGGGACTCTATGAAGTATAGACGCAAAACACTGATAACAGCCTGAAGCACGTCTCAACATTCACTACCTGTCACACTGTCGTGCAGCTGTACAACCATCTTTGATTTAGCCGACACAAGAGGATAGACTCTGACAAGATTATTAACAACGCAGTGGCTACGCGACCGGTCATCCATTACAAAGCTCGGCGCAGATTTCCAAATCCACGTCACGATTAGGCCACGTCCCCTTTAAATCGTTGATTTTACTGGATTTACTATTGCTTCAAAAGTTACAAAAACGCATTTTTTTTTGATAAAATACCTAAAGGTAAGTAATATTATGGTAAAAAACTTATTGTTTATTGTTTTTTACTGAAAAAATATAGTTGAGTTTACATAAGAAATATATGACCGGACGCGTAGCCTGGGACCGGATGCGTAGCCACGGACTATTAACAAAGTCTCGCATCGCGATCTCTGCTGAGATAATTACACTCAACACCTCACTGCCATTACTAAGAAAATTTCATTACATTTTGCCCTCACAACCCCACCTGGTGGAAAGCTTGTTAGGTGTATCACATTCTACTCGATGCCCCAGACATCGAATGAAATGCCGTGCTGGCACAATCAATTCTTCCCTCCTACATAATAAAAAGTAAATTACGCCTGCTGAGCTCGGAAGGCCAGCTGGTGTAGGAGGATATGCACTAGTACAAAATTGCTGGTGTGATTCCCTGTTGTCCCTTATACATATATGATGGCATGCCTTTACAATGAATTACAGTCCAACACGACTCTACTTCCAAGTATCACAAAATTACTATTATATTTTGACTCTATTTACAAAAAAATTCTCTGCCAGGCAACAACTAAAGGCAGGTGTCGCGTGTGCACGATGCCACGCATGTTCGCGCGGGGCGCTCTGTCCGAAGACGATGCGCAATGCTCACCACCCATGAGACGATGTTTGAGGTTTCGCTCTAACAACTTTCGCTCACCTTACCTGACAAGCTTCATGCTACAGGAGGCTGTGGATGGAAGCCACAGCAAGCAAGAGAAGGAAGCCACGTTCCGACAACTCAGGCTTATTGCCTTTGATGGCCTTGGCAAAGCTGCCAAGCTGCTCAAACAAAGGCCATGGCAAGCACGGGACGTGGGTTCGCCCCACCAGCCTTGCCTTGTCACACCCGCCAGCCCTCATGCGACTGAAGGCTGCGAATGGAAGCCACAGCGAGTAGGTGAACGAAGCCTCGATCCTACATTTGATCGGCGGTTCGCGTTCTACGGTCTTCGTGAAGCTGCCTAGCTGTTAAGATGGACCCCCGTGGTGAGCAAAGGATGAGGATTCGCTCCTACAGTGTTGGTGCTTCGCGTTCGATGCAGGGAGGAGGCTGCAGATGGATGCCACGCTCCTACAGTCTCTGCTTGTCACGCCCGATGCCGGGAGGCTGCAGATGGAAGCCACGCTCCTACAGTCTCTGCTTGTCACGCCCGATGCCGGGAGGAGGCTGCAGATGGAAGCCACGCTCCTACAGTCTCTGCTAGTCACGCCCGATGCCGGGAGGAGGCTGCAGATGGAAGCCACGCTCCTACAGTCTCTGCTAGTCACGCCCGATGCCGGGAGGAGGCTGCAGATGGAAGCCACGCTCCTACAGTCTCTGCTTGTCACGCCGGATGCCGGGAGGCTGCAGATGGAAGCCACGCTCCTACAGTCTCTGC